GACATGTGGACCAACTTCTGAGCCGAGCTGTCAATGATGACCACTTAAACAGCCCATCATCAATTGAAGATCATTCTATGCCACTTCAATTGGCTCGCCCAGCGGACTTTTCTGATGAAGTTGCCCCACTTACCTCAGGCTCTCATACAGCCACAGTGAATGAGTTGCAGTTGACCAGTACTAGTGAATGTTTTTAAAGTCCTTTACCTACAGTTGCCTGTTCTGTTACAGACAATGACAATGTTACTGGGGTTCCTCCTGTTTTGCTGTCAGAAACTCCTGATACAAGTTCTATGTTAGAGAAACCAAGTTACTCAGACAAGGTTGCTACTCCCCCTTGTTCTGAGAGACGTTACCCTGTTAGAGTAAATCGTGGACTGCCAAGTCACTTGAGAGACTATGAGTTAAAGTGCTGACATTGCTTAACTGTTGTTATAGAAAGAAACTGCTTCATTTAAAGGGGGAGATGTTACATAATAGGTATTGTTCGGACTGTTAGGACTGCGCATGTGCAGTGACACGTGTCATTCGGATGTTCAGATTAAAGAGAATTGAGTTGCGTTTCCTTGTGTCCTCAATAATTATCCGTTTACAACATTTTCCACAAATTTTGATAGGGAGTTACACCTCCATTAAACCCCTCATATCTCTTGAATGCCTTCCTATTATTGAGAATGGTTAAGGTGGTACCATACAAAAAGAATTGCATTTTTTCGTAAAAAATTGGGCAAAGTTTTTTGTTTGATTTCACCTCTTTAGGCTTTTGTTTTTCTGTCCCTAAAGTCTTTTTGTCAATATTACTGTAGTATATAGTGATAAAAAGCAGTTTTCGAAGAGCTGTTGTTTCATTGCCATGGTAATGCGTTTGTTGACGCATCATTTTGGGCCTCAAAATGGCCATATTTTGTGGGCAAAATAGAGCTTTTGGCACCAAAAAATGATCTGCAGGGAGACTTGGGGTGAACATTAACTTTCAGCCTCGTTTAGATGCCATTTGGTAAACGCGTCCATTTTGGAATCGCAAAGCTGTGAATTTCACGAGTGATCACAAGTTCAACTTGCAAAATGTCAAAATTTCTGTCTCAGAGATGTAAGAAGCAAAAATTCTATGGAAATCGGTTTAAAAATAACCAAAGAGTTAACGTCGAAGAGCTAGAAGTCATGGAAAGTACTTCAAGTGGATCAGTAGATGGTTTGTCGCACGATGAAAAGAAAGCAAAGGAATCTTCGGCTTCGTACTGAAAGCTTCAATCAACTGCCCAAGAAGAGAAGCCTAAACCAAAGCTCGACGAAAGTCCAACAAAGAGAACCAGTCCAACTATTACAGGGTTTAGGTTCTGTGATATGGAGGTGCTATCGTCTGTTTTTTCTCAGCTATGATGTGGCAAATGTGGCGATTTCAGTCTTCTGTTTACAGAAGATAATTTGAAGCGGAAGGGACGTGCCTCGACTTTGCATTTGCTCTGCGAGCAGTGTGGGTGGAAACACTCTTTTTGCACATCAAAGAAGCAAGGAAAGAGCTTTGAAATAAACCGGTGCCTTGTTTATGGCATGAGAACTCTTGGAAAGGGATATGCTGGTGCAAGGAAATTCTGCACAGTTATGAATATACCTCCACCTCCTACAGAGAAAGCGTTCCTCTCCAACTCATGTGTAATCGGCTGTCACATCAAAGTTATCGTAAAGGAAACTATGAAGAAAGCAGGAGAAGAAGTTTTTTCTCTTAAGAAGCAAAACAACTCGTCTGGAGCTGAGCCTGTCAACTGTGGTGTTTCATGTGATGGCACATGGCAAAAGAGAGGCTACTCGTCATGCAGTGGTGTCATGGTGACATCCATGGACACAGGAAAGGTCCTTGATGTGGAAGCCCTTAGCCAAGGATGTAAACAGTGTGAGTGCCATGAACACCTGGATAAAACCTCTCTGGAATATCAGACATGGAAAGCTGACCACACTAAATGCAAGGCAAATTTCTAGGGATCTGCACCTGCTATGGAACCAGAGGGAGCAGACCGCATATTCCGAAGATCTGTTGAGTGGCACAATCTCAGGTACACTGAATTTTATGGGGATGGGGACAGTAAGAGTTACAATAGAGTGAAGGGTGTCTATCAAGATGCTGGGATTGAAGTAGAAAAGGAATGTATTGGTCACGTGCAAAAGAGAGTTGGAACCGCTCTCCGTAAATTAAACTGTGACAATCCAGGCCTCAGAGGCAAAGGTAAACTGACAGACAGTCAAATCGATCAACTTCAAAATTATTATGGCATAGCCATAACGTCTAATGTGGGAAATTTGGCTGGGATGAAGAAAGCCACACATGCTAGCTTCATGCATTGTGCATCAAGTGAGGCACGCCTTCTTCACGACCACTGCCCAACAGGGAGTACAAGCTGGTGCAGGTATCAGCAGGACAAGGCCAATGGTACAAACCTGTACAAGCATGGAGCTGGCCTTCCATTAGCTGTGATTAAAGAGGTAAAGCCAGAATATGTCAGGCTTAGTGAGGATAACTTGCTCAAGAAGTGCCTGCATGGCAAGACTCAGAACCAAAACGAGTCCTTGAATGGGATGGTGTGGCAGAGAATTCCTAAGGAAGTCTATGTCGGAAGTGAGACATTACAATTAGGCGTGTATGATGCAGTTGCCCATTTCAATACTGGGTCAATTACTGTCATTGAGCTTTTCCAAGCCCTAAGCATCCCTCCTGGCAAATATACTGAGGAGGGTTGCAGACTTCAAGATCAGCTAAGAATACACACTGTGCAACATCAAAGCAAACCAAGTACGAAGCAGAGAAGAAAAGTCATCAGAGGCCTTAAGAAGAGAAAAGATGACAAAACCAAGCAGAAAGAGGGTGTAAACTATGGCCTTGGACAGTTTTGAACAGTTTTTTCATATGGCAACTGTATGGTAATCATAAAAATCAGTTTACAAACTTTAAATTATAATTTCTTGAAACTTTAAATTTCGTGAGAACACCAAAACGCTAACAACGATACCTTTTTAAGGTTTTATTCAATTCCTTCCATTTTTGGAGTGAGAGATCTCAGTTCATTGAATGCAGAAGCATATCAAGATCATTTCCTGAAAATTTCAGCTTTTTTACTTAAACACTTCTAGAGATAGAACTGTTATTGTGTGGACAACCCCAGGGGGCATCAGTTGCTCATAAATGTTTGCCATGGCAACTAAACAAGATAAAAACTGCAAAAATAAACTTGTCTCATCAATTAGTTTTAGGTTGTATGGGTAACCTTTTGTGAAACAACATGTGAAAAAATGAAGATTTTTGAGTGTTGTACCACCTTAATACAATGAAGGAAATGTGCTTGGTTGCTGTGGTACCTGCAAGTAAGTATCACTGTAATCCACTACATACTGCTTGTTCAACACATAGGGCTGAGCT